TAATATTTATAAAAATTTTTATATAATAAAAATAGAAAATTTAATTTTAAATTGTATAGAATTGTAATTAATGAATTCAAATACATAAATTTATATTTTTTTTATATTTTATTTTATATTTTATTTTTAACAATATAAACACTCACATATATGTAAGTAAAAAATATAAATTATTTAGTATTTTCCAAATTTTTAATTAAATTATTTTTATTTTATTTATATCATATTATATTCAGTTATTCTTTATTTATTATTATATTTTATTCTGTATATATAAAAATGTATATATTTTTTAAAAATGGACATATTGTTTATTATGAACATGTAATAAACACTATTTACATCAATATGCAGAGACATCTTATGGCCAAATAATACTTTATTCAATCATAAACGATGTAAGAAGAAAATCTATTACATTATAGTATATTTAGAAATAAAAACTTAGATCAAAAATAAAGATACTTATTTGTATTTATTTAACATATATAACAAATAAAAATTGAATTTTAATTTCATTAAAATTAAGAAAATAAGAATATGATGGAGATGATTTCATTCTATTTCTATCTTATATTCAATTAAATTTTTTTTACATCAACTTGTGTTTTGCTATTTTAATCTTTAAAATCGACTTCAAAGATATTCTACTAATATATTAAATATATATTATATAATTATATAATTATTATTATAATAATTATATAATTATAAAATTATAATTATATATTATATAATTACATGATATATTAAATATATAATATATTCTATTAATATATTTTTTATGTTATATGTAATTTTATATGTATATGAATTAAATATATATATTATACATATTATTTCAATTTAATATTTCATATTAAATAAAATTAAAATTAAAATTATATATATGATTTTAATTACAAAAAAAATATAATTTATTTAAAAGTATTTATTTCATTCATACATTATATGGATTAAAACAAAATGTCAATTAATATATAAAACTTTTTACAATAAATTATATTTCTTATTATATTTTTTGTTTTATATATATATATATATATACATATTTTTGGTTATATAAGTTTCATTCAAACACATATTTATTGTTAATTTAAGTGAATATAAGTTTATATTTTGCCAAATACATACATATTCATTTTAAAAATTCATATTTTTTCAAATCTATTTTTTGAAAAAATAATTATATTGAAATTAATTTAATAATATTAAATAATAATGTCCAATTTATGATTTATTGTTTTCATTAGGAGGATTATAAAATGAAAGTTTTACTTCTTCCTGTCTGTGAAAAAATAAATTAATATAAGTATATATTTTGAGTAAAATATAATTAATATATGATATAAAATTAAAATTAAAATAGGAAAATAGTTTTATTTTGCATCATTTCTAAAAATTTGAGGTGATCTCCTCTAAGATGAAAAATATCATTCAAATATTACCTTTCAGTATTATTATTAGTTGTATTATCTGCATCTGTTAATATACCAATTTCATATACCATTGCTTTTATAACATATCTATAAAATATAAACAAAAAAAAAGATTATAAAATTTGGATAAATATATACATATATGTTTGTTTATAAGAATGTTAAGATTATAAAATATTCTTACAAATTATCACCAATTGAATTATTTGATGATGATGATTCATTTGCTAACATAGCTGTTGTATTATAATTCATATTAGATACAGATAATGTTATACTTAATTGTATACATATATTGAATAAAAACAATATTAAATACAACATTTGAAAAGTTTTAAAGCTTCGATCAATTTCACTGTTACACAACATTTTCAACAATGTCTTGATTTTAAAGCAAGCATTCTTTTATACTAGATATTAGAGGCTCATTAGCACTACTCCCTCTTCTCAATAAGTTACAAAATACATTATGATACATATTTTCATATTGCTCACAAATAGGAATGGAAAATTTTTAAGAGAAAAATCCTTATAAATAATATATTTAAAATAGATATAATATATATATGCAGAATATTATATATAATATATTATATATAATTATATATATATGTAAAATGGTATGTAAAATGTATGTATTTAATGTTTTTTTAAAAAAAAATTTATAAATATAAATTTGTAAAAATATTATTTTGCAAAATAAATTATAAGAAAAATTTAAACATAAACTAATAATTATGGTAATTTAATTTTTGACTTAAA